AGACAGAGAGAAAGAGAGAGATGTATAGAAGGAGGAAAAGAAAGAAATGAGAGAAACAGGAGACAAAGAAAGAGAGATGTGAAGAAAGAAGGGAAAGATGGAAAGAAACAAAGTAAGGAGGAAAACTGGAGACAGAGAGAGAAAGACAGAGATGTATAGGAGAAGGAGAGAAACATGAGACAGAGAAAAAAAGAGAAAAAAAAATTGACAAATTTAATTTATGTACAGTGTTGCATGACCGCGCAATTGTCAGTTAAAGTAACTCAGCGCCGTATCACAAAAAATGGGTTGGTCAGGAAAGGAAGGGGGGGGGGGGGGGGTAAATCCTGGAGGATAAGTGGTTAAGGCCTTTTTCACACCATACATGCATGACAATTGATAGAAACTGATGCGCAGATTTCACTTGCAGAGACATCAGTAGTTATGCAAGCATCAATGAGTTTTATACACATTGCAGATTCCTGCGCAGAAAAAAAATCTGCATGTGATACTAGTGTTGTGTGAACAGGGCACATAGAGAACAATTCATTTCACTGTGCCCTTGCAGAACACATGCAGAAAAACTGACGTCTCTGCACCATGGTGTGAATGAGCTCTAAGGTCATAGCGTGGCCTAGCCAGTCTCCAGACCTTAATCCTATAGAAAATTTATGGAAGGAGCTGAAACTTCGAGTTGCTAAGCAACAGCCAAGAAACCTTAAGGATTTAGAGAAGATCTGTAAAGAAGAGTGGACCAAAATCCCTCCTGAGATGTGTGCAAACCTGGGAACCAACTACAAGAAACGTCTGACCTCTGTGATGGCCAACAAGGGTTTCTCCACCAAGTTCTAGTCATGTTTTGGGGATCAAATACGTATTTTACTCACTGACCTGCTACTCAGTTTATAATATTTATATCATGTTTTTTTCTTTTCAGTTTTTTTTTTTTTGTTTTACCTATGATAAAAATTATATACCCTTCATTTCTTTGTAAGTGGTCAAACTTACAAATCCTGCAGGGGATCAAATAATTATTTTCCTCACTGTATGTGTCTCTGCCATACAAAAGAGCGGAGTTGTATTTGTAAAGCGCTGCGCAAACTGTTGGCGCTATAGAAATCCTGTATTATAATAATATTTGCAGCTAAGACTGTTTTCAATCAATATCGCACATTACAGAATTATAACAGTATTTTGGTTCTGCAATTAGATGTATCTGGTGTCAGAGAACCGTCCACGATGAATGCATTAATAACAACTTGAAGACCGAAGACTGTGACCTCGGGGAGTTCCGAAACCTCATTATTCCACCCAGTTATCTCCTGACTGTGAAGCAGATGAAGAAGAGCAAGAATACAGATTATGAGAAGGTGGCATTGAGACGCTTTTTTTTTTTTTTTTTTTTTATTCGTTGCTTGATGATTATGAAATGTTTCAAAAATATTCTAGGAGAGATTTACTAAAGGAAAGTTATGCTTTGCCTGGATATGGAATTTCTTTTAAAAATTTGCATTGAGGAAAGACAAGTAATGCCCCAGTTTGTTCAATCAGTACCTTGTGTTCTTTGTGGAGCTTACACTGACAGCTGAATTCTGATTGGTTGCTATTGGTATTACCTCTTTTTTACTTTCCTCCAGTTATTATGATTGAGCCTTGTTTATATTCCAGGTAGGTTATTGTCATCTGAGCTTTAGGCTCCATGCACACTAGCATTTTTTTTAGGCTCCTAGAAGCTGTTAGCATTTTTTTTTTCTGTTCCTAGAAGTTAAATAGTGTTGTCGTATGTGTCCATGCACACTACTTTATAGGGATGCATCAATATATCAGCGGCTAGAAAAATAGTGTGATGAGCTCTTTGCCAAAAGGAAAAAAGGTGCTAATAATGGCTGCCGAAAACTTGTGATTTTGCCACGATTTTACCAACGATGTTAGCCTTGATTTTGCCACAATTTTACCACGTTTTTAGGGTGCGCTTTTCATAGGTCAGTTGAGTGAAAAAACACATTATAACGCAACACGCAATGCTGAATGGAAACACAAGAAGCAGTTATGACAGAAGATGTGTACAGAGTCTTTTCTGTCATAAAAATCCTACCTGCCAATTGTTTAAAAAAAAAAAATGACTTTTCAATCTAGATCACTTGTTTTTCTAATGTGTTCACTCCCCTTTGGGCAGAAGTGTTAGGCTGTAAGGGGGTTCTGTCTTCTGTCTGAGCACATGCTGATAATAGACACCCAGAACATACAACAAAGGTGCTGTTGGGATTACATGAACGAAAACGAAACTGTTTTGGTATTATTTATTATACAGGATTTACAGTGAGGAACAGAAGTATTTGAACACCCTGCGATTTTGCAAGTTCTCCCACTTAGAAATCATGGAGGGGTCTGAAATTCACATTGTAGGTGCATTCCCACTCTGAGAGACAATTAAAAAAAAAAATTCAGGAAATCACATTGTATGATTTTTAAAGAATTAACTTGTCTTGCACTGCTGAACAGAAGTATTTGAACACCTGAGAAACAGCAACAATTCTGGCTCTCAAAGACCTGTTATGTGCCTTTAAAAAGTCCACCCATACTCCACTCATTAATCTAACTTAGTAGCACCTGTCTGAGCTCTTTAACGACACCTGTCCACCCCACAGTCAGTCAGATGCCAACTACTACTGGGGCAAGACCAAAGAGCTGTCAAAAGACACCAGAGACAAAATTGTGGACCTCCACAAGGCTGGAAAGGACTACGGGGCAATTGCCAAGCAGCTTGGTGAAAGTAGATCAACTGTTGGAGCAATTGTTAGAAAATGGAAGAGGCTAAAGACGACTGTCAGTCTCCCTCGGACTGGGGTCTCACCTCGTGGGGTATCACTGATGATAAGAAAGGTGAGGAATCAGCCCAGAACTACAAGGGAAGAGCTGGTCAATGACATGAAGAGAGCTGGGACCACAGTTTCAAAGATCACTGTCGGTAGAACGCTACGCCGTCACGGTTTCTAATCATGCATTGCACGGAAGGTTCCCCTGCTCAAGTCATCACATGTCCAGGCCCGTCTGAAGTTTGCCAATGACCATTTGGATGATCCAGAGGAGGCATGGGAGAAAGTCATGTGGTCAGATGAGACCAAAGTAGAACTTTTTGGTCTAAACTTCACTCGTCGTGTTTGGAGGAAAAAGAAGGATGAGTTGCATCCCAAGAACACCATCCCTACTGTGAAGCATGGGGATGGTAACATCATGCTTTGGGGGTGCTTTTCTGCAAAGGGGACAGGACGACTGCACTGTATTAAGGAGAGGATGAATGGGGCCATTTATTGTGAGATTTTGAGCAACAACCTCCTTCCTTCAGTCAGAGCATTGAAGATGGGTCATGGCTGGGTCTTCCAACATGACAACGGCCCGAAGCACACAGCCAGGAGAACCAAGGAGTGGCTCCGTAAGAAGCATATCAAGGTTCTGGAGTGGCCTAGCCAGTCTCCAGACCTAAATCCAATAGAACATCTTTGGAGGGAGCTGAAACTCCGTGTTGCTCAGCGACAGCCCTGAAACCTGACAGATCTGGAGGAGATCTGTGCGGAGGAGTGGGCCAAAATCCCTGTTGCAGTGCAAACCTGGTCAAGAACTACAGGAAACGTACCAAATATTAACACTGATTTTCTCAGGTGTTCAAATACATCTGTTCAGCAGTGCAAGACAAATAAATTGTTTAAAAATCATACAATGTGATTTCCTGAATTTGTTTTTTAAATTCTGTCTCTCAGAGTGGGAATGCACCTACAATGTGAATTTCAGACCCCTCCATGATTTCTAAGTGGGACAACTTGCAAAATCGCAGGGGGTTCAGATACTTTTGTTCCTCACTGTATATAGCGCCAACAGTTTGTGCAGCGCTTTACAAAATGAAGGTAGACAGTACAATTACAATACAATTTGGAAGCAGAGGGCCCTGCTCAGTATTGGGCAATTTTAATCCATGCCAGCAGCCAGGGCTGTGTTCATTATCATTACTTGGGTCCGGCAGAAGGCAGGACAGCCTCTATGATGACACTGGGCTGATGCTTCTGCTCAAACAAGGAGAAAAAACTACACATACAGTAACTATTCTTCAGGCTGCACTATTATAACATCTTTAAAGTATACAGTATGTAATCTCTGAATTGCTCCTGTTGAATCTGTACCAAAAATACCTGTCGATCCTGCCAGCAATCTAGCTCTGTGTTTAGTCCCATGCACTCTGCAGTGTTCTCTTCCTTCCCAGGTTATCTATGTGAACTACAGCACACTTCTCCCCTATGTTATGGAGTTGAGGAGAGTGGGAAGAGATCTGTAGTCCTAACGCCTTTCCTGGGCACGTGTGGGAGCACTCATTTGCTGTACTGTATCTATAGGGGAGCAGTGTTGTCACCCTGGGCTGCTAGCTCCTGATTGGAGCTAAAGAACACCTAACCTGTGTGTTTTGGGGATGGGGAGAGGGGCAGGTGAAAATAATTTAAAGGCTGAGCAGCCAGTACATTCAAGGGCTGGTAAGAAGCAATTAATTACATTCTTGTTTTTGGTTTCTTATTGGTGGTCTCTAAATTGCTGCCTCTTGCTTGTTTTTAGCTGGTCCTTGGGGCACTATTGCTCCCACTAACACCGTCAATTTAGCACTATTCCCATTGGTACCATAAATCTGACACTATTCCTCCCACTGAAACCAATGATGGGGCATTGTTTCCTGCCAGTGACACCGGGAAATTTTCTACACCCATTGGTCACAGTCTGGCCACATACAGTCTATAGGACTGTAAACTGGTCCTTTGTTAAGAAAGTTTGGAGACCCCTTTGAGAGTTTGATTATTACCAGTTCCCATTCCCAACAAACGGTCTTTAAGGTATTTGCTCAACTTTTATTTTAACCGCACCATCTTCTCTTGTAGTTACTGTCTTCACTAGGCAAAGACTGGACTCCTTTGATCGTTCTTGCTAACACCCGCAGTGGGAACAACATGGGGGAAGTTTTGGTTGGAGAATTTAAAGGTCTTCTGAATCCTGTCCAGGTGAGTGTGTTGTGAAGGCTAAAGTGTAACTGTACTGTGCTGATAGAAAGCAGAGCAACACTGCAGCTGTGTATAGCAGGTATATTGCAGTGCCACAGCTTTTCTTTTCAGTGCTACCCCACCACCCCTGTGTATCGCTTGAGTCCCCATAGGACAGTACTTGAACTTAACAGGTGTCTTAGGCACTTACAACTACATTGTGGGATATCAGAGGGCATGTGCACATTTGCTGTATACCTGGAAGTTCAGGTTTTTCGGGGTAAATGATAACAATATTGATATCCGTAATGAGGACCCCTGCATGGTTTAAAGATGCATATATAAAGTATCGTATCAATATTTATCTTTTTCATCATGACATGCAAAAGTCCACCTCAGTGCCCTGGGTGTCATTGGGACAGGTGTTCTAGCAGGGACACACACTACAATAAAATACTTTATAAGTGATGCATGTGTAATATTTTTTATGTTAAATGATTGAAATGTTTTGGCATTAGACTAAACTCCTTTAAAGGTAGATAATAATGGCTTAGTGGTTAGCACGTCTGCCTTGCAGTAAATGGGTCATGGGTTCGATTCCCGACCATGACGCCTCCTGCATGGAGTTTGCATGTTCTCCCTGTGCTTGCCTGGGTTTCCTCCGGGTGATCCGGTTTCCTCCCACACTCCAAAGACATGCTGGTAGGTTAATTGGATCCTGTGTAAATTGGCCCTAATATGTGTATGTATGAATGTGAGTTAGGGACCTTAGATTGTACACCCCTTGGGGGTTAGGGACTGATGTGAATGTTCAATATATTTATGTGTAAAGCGCTGCGTAAATTGACAGCACTATATAAGTACCTGAAATAAATAAAATAGTGCTTTGTGTATAGTTTCTTTATTATTGTCAGGACTAAAATATAAAATAGCATATGAATATAGTTAAATAGGCTCCTTTTCCATGTTTCCAGCTTCTCTTTGCTTCCTTTTTGGAAAAAAAAACATTTGTTTAAATGTCAACATGAGCTATTGAGCTTTGTAAACACAGCAGTGAATTATCAAAATCCAACACCTCAGAGCTTCTGGTAATTGGGAAAGATCACAGCACCCACTTTCTGCTTATAAATAGATATTTCACTGATTTCATTGTATTCCTTGGCCTTCAGCTCCTGCACAGTCAGAGACTTGAGAGCACAAATAAACAAGAGAAGCACCTTGGCCTTGCAAAGAACATAGATTGTTTATTGATAAGATAAAAATAATGTATACTCAGAAGCATTGGGTACGTTCCAGCACATTGGTGTTGCCACTGCCTCATCCATTTTTGGTAGGCATAGATAGCCTCCTACATCCACCAGACTAAGACAGCACAGTGACACCTCCCCCTTTCTCTTTATGACTTTGGGGGAGATTTCGGTTAGAGAGGGTTTGGGGAGGAACAACGTCTGCTTCATAGAAAGCCCAAAGCGCAGTGGGAATCCTATCACAGATGCACACTATATTAAAGGAGAAATATGGCCAAAGCTCTTTTGGTACTTCTTCACCTATAGATCAAAGGAGTGCACTTCATTCTTCACTCATGTGACCTATTTTCATCCATTGGGGAGCTAAAGCCCACTACTGGCTGATGTCCCTGAGCAGGTCCAGGCTCTGGAGAGACCCAGACATTAAAGTTGGGACTTCAAGATTGCTGAGCAGTAGCTGGCTCGTCCTGTCACCGAGAGCCTGAGCCAGCCACTCCTGCCCCCACTGCCCAGCACTCAAGTGAGCGCTGGAGGGGCAAAGCAGAGAGCCGGTGACAGTCACTGGGTCTCTACTCACTGAAAACCAAAAACTGAGTGATCAGCGGTAGGGATGTACTAATACCTGTTTTTTTACCGGCGAGTATGAGTACCGATACTTCTTCTCAAGTACTCACCAATACCAATGCCTTTGCAGTGCGATGTGAGCTCATACAAAATGAATGGGCTCAAATTGCACTGCAAAGAATTGCATGTGATTTGAACAGGAGTGCAGTGCGATTCCTATCCAAAGCACATGAAGTTTCTCACACTGCAAGAGAGGAGAGGGAGGGGGGGGAGAGAGGCGCCAATAGTTTAGCAGTGTTTATTCAGTAAAAGGGGTAAAATTAGACCGTATTGCACTCACAGACATCGCTGGTGACAGGCATAAAACAAGCTCAATGTGGAGCCCTCAGTCCAAAGTTAATTCCCCACTAGAACCACTGGAAAAAGTGCTGTGAAGCCAAATCAGGAATCCAGGAAAGTCACGGGGAGATGCCGTGGGAGACTCAATCTGTCAAAGGAGCGGTCACATGTCTAGGACGCTGTGGCCAATCAGAAGGCTGATGAAGGAGGCATGGTTTGGCCTCTGAAACACGTTCTAATTGGCCATAGCATCCTGGACATCTGACAGCTCCTTTGACAGATTAAGTGTCCCACGGCTCCCTGTGGCTTGCCTGGATTGCTGCTTCGGCTTCACAACAATTGCTCTAGCGGTTCTAGTATTTGTATGGGCTCAAATTGCACTGCAAAGGTATCGATTTTAGGTATCAGAGCATTTTCACGAGTACAAGTGCTTGTGCAAATGCTTAGTATCTGCACTGGTGCAACCCTAATCCGCTGTCTTGATCTCTCAGTTCTTAGTCTTAGGGCCAGCGGGGACAGATGCAGTATCGAATCGATGCTGCATCCAGCTAGGTGAGTATGGATGTTTGTTTTTTTAGCATTCATTTGTAAAACGAAGATTGTATGTATGTATATGTATATTATATTTTCTCTCTTTGCCCCTTTTGTAGGTGTTTGATTTGACCAAGACATCTCCATTCAAAGCACTTCAACTGTGTGCTCTTCTTCCACCTAACTCGGCCAAAGTTCTGGTTTGTGGTGGAGATGGCACTGTTGGTTGGGTCCTTGATGCTGTGGATGAGATGAAGATAAAGGTAAAAACCTTCTACTACTCTTGCTGTATTTGGCTGGACACAAAAAAAATGACCAAAACTTTATAGGTGTCATAAGATTGTAATTGGACAGATTACAAAACCATGTATGAACACATCACTTTTGTTTATATTCATATAAATCAGCTAAAATGCATATTTCCAGATTTAGCATAGAAAGCATCTAAAAACACCACGAGATTTATCCACGTACATTACCCTTTAACCATCTATTTTATAGATTAGTATGATCAATGTCCTTAACCACTTCCCGACCGGCCGTTGCATATAAACGGCCGGACGGTGGCACTGCAGGGTCGGGTGGCCGTTTATAAACGGCCTCCCCGCACCCTGCTTGTGCGCGCTCCCTGGGAGCGTGCAACACCGCGATCCGGTGCCCGCTGTGTCCTCCGGACACAGTCAAACACCGATCGTCTGACGGGACCTCTGTACGAGGTCCCGATCATGTGATCACTGATTGGCCAATCAGTGATCACATGCAAATTAGTAAGCAAGATGTCACTTGTGACATCATTGCTTACTACGTGTGAAATCTGTGAATGATCACAGAGGTCACATGGTACAAGGCTATTCACAAAAGCCTTGTACCATGTGACAAGCTGTGACCAATCACAGCTCACTCAGTACTTCTCAATGACTGCAAGAATGCACACAGAGAGAAAGAGAAATGATTGCTTTTACATGCTATATGGGTGTAAAAGCAATCGGTGTAAAAAAAAAAAAAAATCTTCATCACCCCCCACAAGTAGTACAGTATGTAAAAAAAAAATAAAAATAAAAAATAATAATATAAAAAAATAAAATAAAAGTGTAAAAAAAAAAATGTTTAAAAATTATAATTTTTGGTTATAAACTAATTTGGATTTTTTTTTTTTTACTAAAAAGATAATGGAATAAATTTTGGCTAAGATTTATGATGAAATATTATTTATTTGCAAAATTTTATAAAAAAAACCACTTATTTTCAAAATTTTTGGACATTTCATTTACATAGCAAAAAAAATACAAATCCCAGCGGTGAATAAATACCACCAAAATAAAGCTTTATCTGTCTCAAAAAAATGGTAAAAAAATTCATTTGGGTACAGTGTTGCATGACCGCGCAATTGTCATTCAAAGTGTGATAGCGCTAAAAGCTGAAAATTGCCCTGGACAGGAAGGGGGTAAAAGTGTCCGGTCTGGAAGTGGTTAAGCTAAGATATGGAGGTCGTCACAAGTGGATTGTAGGTAGCTTTTTGATGTGTTTCTCAGTAGTTTTCTTCCTTATGAAAGTATGGGAGAGCATATCTAGTGTCATGCTTGATTTTGTCACAGGAGACCACAAAGGTAAGTGCGCTTCTTCTAATAGGGGTTTTCGAGGTTGCAAGTGTGTTTATTTTTCTGGTGTTCAAGCTAATATATCAGTTTTAATAAACCTAATCTTCGGTTTGCCATGAATGTGTTTGTGTCTTCACAGGGTCTCGAAAGTTTTGTTCCCCAGGTAGCAGTGTTACCTCTGGGAACTGGCAATGATCTGGCTAATACTTTAGGATGGGGGCCTGGCTATGCTGGAGACGTGCCTGTAGAGCAGATACTTCGCAATATTATGGAAGCCGACATAGTTAAGCTTGACAGGTGAGAGGATATGGCAGTCGAGATTTTGTGAGTTTTAAGCAACACAGAGGATTCACCCCTAAAGTATATTTAGGTAAAATGGATTTTCCACTTCACCTCTAGAGTTATCGTATTATAAATTAAGTTAAAGGTGCCATTTTTTTGCAGGATTCAGGTTTTTATTCAGTTGTCTTCCAGGATAGCCCATTAGAGATCCAGACTCCTCTCAACAGAACAGCAATGACACAACAAAATAGTAAACATTTCTCAGTGATTGTAAAAGATGTTTTTTTTTCTCTAAAAAAAAAAAAAAAAGCAAACATATCATACTTAACTTTTTTCCCCCACCGTCATTCCTGGCTCCTTCTCACCACCAAGTGCCCCCATAGTATACTACTTGCTATGGGGGCACTTGTACGGGTTTGCTCTTGAACTGCGCTCTGTGTGTCCAGTGACACACTGAGTGCATCTTTGCCCTGCCCCCACTCTCTCCTCACTGGCTGTGACTGAGAGCAGCAGGAGCCAATGGCTCCTGCTGCTGCCTCTCTCCAGTGGGGAGAAAGAGAGAGACGCTGCTCTGATGAGCAGCGCTGAGTCAAGATCGGGCTCAGGTTGAAAAAAAAAAAGGATAGGGGAGCTGCACACAGGTTTTTTTACCTTCATGCACAGAATACATAAACCACTTTAATGGAATCTCCAGGGCCTTCCTCTTATCTCCTGATAAGACATATTGTGTGGAGACACATGCTCAATTTGGTGTGTATTACTAGAGAGTTTTTTTTTGGGGGGGGGGGTTCTTGGGAGGGTGCATGTGATCAGCACAGGGCCAATCAGCACTGTCCAGACAGAGGTAAGGGATTCTACATCCTACAGCATAAATAAAACTCCTCATACAGGCTTTAACCAGTGCCTTGTTGAACACTGATAGAAGTCACAAGACTGCTCTAACTGCTGATGAGAACAGGTATTTAGCGGTTTATATTTACTAAAATAATTGCACTTCCATGTTCTGTGTACTGTGGGAGACCAGATAGTGAATGCAGGGTCCTGGGAGACCAGATAGTGAATGCAGGGTCCTGGGAGACCAGATAGTGAATGCAGGGTCCTGGGAGACCAGATAGTGAATGCAGGGTCCTGGGAGACCAGATAGTGAATGCAGGGTCCTGGGAGACCAGATAGTGAATGCAGGGTCCTGGGAGACCAGATATAGTGAATGCAGGGTCCTGGGAGACCAGATATAGTGAATGCAGGGTCCGGGGAGACCAGACATAGTGAATGCAGGGTCCTGGGAGACCAGATATAGTGAATGCCGGGTCCTGGGAGACTAGATACAGTGAATGCAGGGTCCTAGAAGACCAGATATAGTGAATGGCGGGTCCTGGGAGACCAGATACAGTGAATGCAGGGTCCTAGAAGACCAGATATAGTGAATGGCGGGTCCTGGGAGACCAGATACAGTGAATGCCGGGTCCTGGGAGACCAGATATAGTGAATGCAGGGTCCGGGGAGACCAGATACATGAATGCAGGGACCGGGGAGACCAGATATAATGAATGCAGGGTCCTGGAGACCAGATATAGTGAATGCAGGGTCCTGGGAGACCAGATACAGTGAATGCAGGGTCCAGGAAGACCGGATAGAGTGAATACAGGGTCCGGGGAGACCGGATATAGTGAATGCAGGGTCCTGGGAGACCAGATATAGTGAATGCAGGGTCCTGGAAGACCAGATATAGTGAATGCAGGGTCCTGGGAGACCAGATACAGTGAATGCAGGGTCCTGGGAGGCCAGATATAGTGAATGCAGCGTCCGGGGACACCAGATATAGTGAATGCAGGGTCCTGGGAGACCAGATATAGTGAATGCGGGGTCCTGGGAGACCAGATATAGTGAATGCGGGGTCCTGGAGACCAGATACAGTGAATGCGGGGTCCTGGGAGACCGGATATAGTGAATGCGGGGTCCGGGGAGACCAGATATAGTGAATGCGGGGTCCTGGGAGACCAGATACAGTGAATGCGGGGTCCTGGGAGACCAGATACAGTGAATTCAGGGTCCTGGGTTTAGTAATACTTTAAATAGCAATATAGCGAAGACCACAATCACCTGTCCTCTGTGGGGTGAAAAAAGCAACATCTTTGGTGATGCTAAGGGTCATTCTCTGTCTTTCAGGTGGAAAGTCCAGGTTACTAACAAGGGTTACAGTCTGAGAAAACCAAAGGTAATCATCTTTTTCACTTCTGTACACTAAGCTCTGTTCTTGCCAGCATTTCAGGGACTAGAGTCTTACACCTCATGCACATATCACACTTGAGCTAAAAAAACTGCCTTTTGAGCTTTTTTTTTTTTTTTTTTTTCCCTTTAGGAGCAGATAAAAAAAAACATCACTTGTGCATTAAGGAGACGAGTTTTGACAGAAAAAAATTCCTAATGCCTATAAACGTGTGTTAATGCTAGGTTTTTTTTAGAGCTTGAGCGTGAGTGAGTGGCCTGAATAGGTTAATATTCTGGCCAGTAAAATGAATAAACGCTCAAATGCTTGCCATGTCTAAACCCGCTTAAATGCGTTGAAAAAACACAGCTTAGGGTTGTTTTTGAAGATGCTTTTCTCCTGCAAGGAGAGGCCCAGTGTGCATGAATCCTTGTGTATGATAACTGGGGTTTGCCTTTGAGATAAACCTTTCACAAAGCCCTCTAATGCATTCTGAGCAGATGGTAAAAGTTAATCTGGTCCATTCACCTTGTACCTCCATTCAGCTACTGGATAGAGAGAAAACAGGTGGCGCACACACCTAGTGCATTATCCAAGGTTTATTGTAGGAATTAAATCATAAAAACATACTCACAGACGAAGCATGTATCTAAAAAGCATAGAAAAATGACAATGGCCACAATGGCGGGCAAGGTGTTCTCACTGTCAGTGCGGTCAAATGGCTGACGCGTTTCGGGGACAAATCCCTTTCCTCAGAGCTGATGACCAACCTCTGATGCTGATGCACGTTGAATGAAAAGTAAAGTAAGAGCCCTGCTGTTGATGCCTGCAAGGAGAAAAGCATTTAGAAGAGGCCCAGCGTGCATGAAGCCTTGTGTATGATAACTGGGGTTTGCCTTTGAGATAAACCTTTCACAAAGCCCTCTAATTCATTCTGAGCAGATGGTAAAAGTTAAGCTGGTCCATTCACCTTGTGCCTCCATTCAGCTGCCTGGAGTGAAAAAAGCAGTTCTGTGTATTCTCAATCTGGAATCCCAGACAGAACGTACAAACAGCCGAGGTCTTCCTGCTCCTGATGACAATACTGAGCCAGGCACCAGTGCTGTCACATGATCCACTATACCTGATTGTAATGACATTTCCATTGTGCTCAGTGACTGAACAGGGCAGAAGGCAGCAAGGGGAAGGGAAATATTAACTATTGGGGGACCGGACATAACAGTGAACCTATTGCTTTGCCCTGCTGGGTGAAATTCAAGCTGTAGACTGATGGGGGTTTTTTTTTAGAGGGTTGCGGTTTGTGTTGAAACTTTTGAGGTTATGCATTGCGGTAATGTTTTCAAATGGCACATTCCAAAGTTTTTTTAATTTCATATTTGTATACTTCGGAAGCAAAACCATATAATAACATTCTACTGTATGTTGATTCTTTAGGTTTTGTCCATGAATAATTACTTCTCAGTAGGTCCTGATGCCTTGATGGCTTTAAACTTCCACACACACCGAGAGAAGACCCCTTCACTGTTTTCTAGCAGGCTTGTTAATAAGGTAGGCTGTCAAATGTTCTGGTAAAAGTTCCCTAAGGTAATATGTTTATGCGTTTAAATGCAGTTGCTGACACGTGCCTGTTTTATGAGCTTCCATATCTGAGATGCTTATGTTTAGAAAATGTAAATTCCAGCCTCAGAGAACTTTTACTGTTCCTCTACTTTTAATGCAGCTCTCCCAATTGAACACAAAGGTGTAGCACATTGTATATAGAGAGGGCTATGGCAGAGCTCCAACTCTGAAGCTGAAAGTATACATTTGCATATTGGGTGCTATGGGTTGAGATGCTGTTAGAGCATTTTTGAGAATAAAAAAAAAAGTATGTGAATGCACCACTCATTGCTTATGTCTGCTGTAGTATGTTAGAGAAGTGACAGGTTTCTGTTAAAACTTATGAGCAGGACAGTGGCTAAGTGGTTAGAACTTCTGCCAAGCAGCACTAGGGTTGTTGGTTCGAATCCCAACCATGACACTAACTGCCTGGAGTTTGCATGTTCTCCCTGTGGCTGCGTGGGTTTCCTCCGGGTATTCCAGTTTTCCTCCTACGCTTCAAAGATATGCTGGTAGCTTAAAGTGTTACTAAACCCAGGACCCTGCATTCACTCTATCTGGTCTCCAACAGTACACAGAACATGGAAATGCAATTATTTAGTAAATATAAACTGCTAAATACCTTTTCTCATCAGCAGTTAGAGCAGTCTTGTGACTTCTATCAGTGTCCAGCAGAGCACTGGTTAAAGCTTGTAGGAGGAGTTTTCATTGTGCTCTAGGAGGATGCATAACCTTTGACCTCTGTCTGGACAATGCTGATTGGCCCTGTGCTGATAACATGCGCACTCCCAAGAAAAAAAACAACCCTCTCTAGCAATACACACCAAACTGAGCATGTGCAGAGGGTCTCCACACAATATGTTTTATCAGGAGATAAGAGGGGGACACTGGAAGAAGGGGAGGATCAGAGAAGTCAGAATCAAACAGCGTTTTTACATAATGCAAAGGATTAACCCCTTAGGTCGGAGTGAGTATAGCAAGCATGCTTTACTGAATATACAGACTGATTTTTCTGTTGTGGGTTTAGTAACACTTTAATTGGATCCTGTCTAAATTGTCCCTAGTATGTGTGTGTATTAATGTGAGTTAGGGACCTTAGATTGTACACTGCTTTCAGGGCAGGGACTGATGTGAATGTACAATGTGTGTAAAGCGCTATGTAAATTGAGGGCGCTATAGAAGTACCTCTAATAAATAAATAGGCTTATCATGGAAATGTCTACAGCGCTATTCATCTTGAAATATGTAATGATATATTTAGTGATCTGATGACCATTTTGCTGAGGCTTTTTATAGTCACAGGTTTATTGCAGGGTGCTCATCTGCACTTTCTCTAAACTTCGTTTTTCCTATTGTTTGGGCAGTAACCTTTTCGATCGAAAATTGGTTATTCCTTTGATGATTTTGGCTGACTTTGGCCAAATTGTGAGAGTTTTTACCATGTTTGTGGGCCTCAGATCAGCACAGACGTCTCTGTAAATCATTCCTGGTGGGAAGAGTGAGTACAAGGTTGGCACCATCAGTGTGCTGCTACTCTTCCATTGCCAATCAACTAGCTGGGGTGGTCCTGGATCAGTCTGTATTATATAGCTACACTATTGAAGAGTGAGGTCTTAGACGTGACTGTGCTGCCTGGCAGGTGTGCCTGAATTACTAGAATTGCTGAACAGCATTACACCTCTTTTGTCAGTAGAACAAATGTGTCATTGAACTGTGCGTTTAGCAGTTTGCTCGAATTTAAGCGTTAATATCAGTTACATATGTTTACAGTTGTGACAGTGTTGTCTTCAAAGCGTCTTCAGTAATGGAGACACTATTGTACAAGCTGAATTGACAGAGTGACTTTTCTTCAATTGTAAACTAATGCAGGCCATAGACGGGTCCAAAATCGGCTGATTTTTCGACCGAATTGTACACCATTAGTGGGTTAATTGGTCGGCCCGTTTTTCAGGGTTTTGGCACATTTTTTTTATCAGTAAAGTTTGGAAAAAAATCGGCCGATTTTCCCGGCAATGATGGGCAAATCGGCCGATCGTTTTACCGATAAAAAATCTGCGCATGAGCCGTGACCTGCAAGAAGAAGAAAAAGAAGAGGAAGAAGAAAAAGAATTCCAGTCCGCTATTATATTTTATATGAAAAGTATTGCGGTTGCAACAATGTATCTATTTGTATCCGAATAAAACATCTGTATCTCAAATGGATACAAATGGATACATTTTTGCAACCGCAATACTTTTTCATGTCAAATATAATAGCGGAGCTCTCTGCAAGGGACAGAAGTAATTAAATGCCGGCCGTAGACAGGACGAAAATCGGATGATTCTTTTTACCATTGGTGGTAATGTCGGCCTATCGAACGTCCGATTTTTTGGGGTTTTTTTTTTAAACGGACGGTTTTCGACCCGTCTATGGCCTGCAGCCTTAAAATGAAAAAAACTGTGCGCAGAAAGGATTCTCTTTTTTAAATCAGGCAAAGAATTTATTTATAAAAATGTATACAAATTTAACAGTACCCATACCAGTCCAAAGCACGCACAGTATATCTCAAAATAATAAGAGGTACTAAGAAAAGAAAGACCGCAACATATCCGGTACTAGCAGCAATCAGTGGAGCATAAGTAAAATGCATACACAGACATCATAGTAATAAAGAACAAGTAAAAACTATGGTACAGTAACTTCCACTAAACAGCCAATAGTAAAGTAAAAATAAGCACACTAAATTAAACACAGGAAGGATTTTATATAAATTAGTGTAGCGCTTAAAAAATAACATAATTAATAGACTATAAAAATAATAAATGTGACCAGTGCTGTAATCTTCACAGTGCTTTTATGCCACTAATAGCACTTAAACATAAACCAAAACCATCAATATCAGAATATAATATGATAATAAATGTGACAAGTTATTATCATATTATATTCTGATATTGATGGTTTTGGTTTATGTTTAAGTGCTATTAGTGGCATAAAAGCACTGTGAAGATTACAGCACTGGTCACATTTATTATTTTTATAGTCTATTAATTATGTTATTTTTTAAGCGCTACACTAATTTATATAGATTTTTACACTGATTAGGTTATTGGTTTGAGTGTCAGCAGCTTACTTACTAGGAGGGGGGATTGTCCATAGAAGCGCAGGAGGATTCATAATCATCAACAGGAAGGATTTTGTTTTTGCAGAAGAAGCATACTGTGCCTCTTCTGCAATAAAGACTTCTTAACCACTTCCAGTCCGGACACTTTTACCCCCTTCCTGTCCAGGGCAATTTTCAGCTTTCAGCGCTATCACACTTTGAATGATAATTGCGCGGTCATGCAACACTGTACCCATATGAATTTTTTACCATTTTTTTGAGACAGATAAAGCTTTATTTTGGTGGTATTTATTCACCGCTGGGATTTTATTTTTTTTGCTATGTAAATGAAAAAGTCCAAAAATTTTGAAAAAAAGTGTTATTTTTTATAAAATTTTGCAAATAAATAATATTTCATCATAAATCTTGGCCAAAATTTATTCCGTTATTTTTTTAGTAAAAAAAAAAATCCAAATTAGTTTATAACCAAAAATTATAATTTTTAAACATATTTTTTTTTTACACTTTTATTTTTTTATATTTTTATTTTTTATTTTTTTTTACATACTGTCATCCTAGCAGTACAGTGTCACCATGGTGACACTGTACTACTTGTGGGGGGTGATGAAGATTTTCTTTTTTTTTTACACTGATTGCTTTTACACCCATATAGGATGTAAAAGCAATCATTTCTCTTTCTCTCTGTCTGCATTCTTGCAGTCATTGAGAAGTACTGAGTGAGCTGTGATTGGTCACAGCTTGTCACATGGTACAAGGCTGTTGTGAATAGCCTTGTACCATGTGACCTCTGTGATCATTCACAGATTTCATACGTAGTAAGCAATGATGTCACAAGTGACATCTTGCTTGCTACTTTGCATGTGATCACTGATTGGCCAATCAGTGATCACATGATCGGGACCTCGTACAGAGGTCCCGTCCGACGATCGGTGTTTCACTGTGTCCGGAGGACACAGCGGACACCGGATCGCGTGCTGCTTGCGCGCTCCCAGGGAGCGCGCACAGCTAGAAAAGGCAGGTGCTGTTTATAAACGGCAACCCGCCCCTGGACTGCCACCGCCCTGCCGTTTATAAACAGCAGGCGGACGGCAAGTGGTTAACTTCCCTCCCACAAGATGCAGTTTAAATGTTTGCTGGGCATTTAAAGAATGCTGAGTATTGCCTCCTTGCCCCTCAACCTGTGATTGGACAAAGAACGAGAAGCAACACACTGATGAGGTCATCACTCTGCTCCCTTCTGTTAAGAGTATGTTCATACTGATCACAGGTAGCACTGTACAAAGCATTATAGTCCTGAATAACCCAGTGAGTGCAGGAGAATACAGGAATCTGATAACAAGACAGATTCATGCATTTATAGTTGTTGTATTTAAATTTTTACTAAATACATAACAGAATGAAATGGTGTTTTTTTTTCTTGTCTGGAATTCAGATTTAAATATGTCTTTATGTTTTTTAGGCGGTGTATTTATTTTATGGGACCAAGGATTGCTTGATTCAGGAGTGTAAAGATCTTGACAAAAAAGTAGAGGTGAGAGTCCAACAACCACTGTGATCCTAAGGAGCAAATTACCTTTCTCAGAATCCTCTAAAGAAACCTAAACCCCTAACCTTAGTGCTTCATGTAATGTCTCTTTGCCTGCTGTGTATTTGTGCAAATTCTTTCTTCTGACTTGGCCACATTTAACCACTAGAGAGACTAACATGCTACTAATGATGGCCTTATGCACTTTACTCCAATAATTCACCTTCTCATCTGATGGAAGTCCTGATGGAGGAGGTGTAATAAAACCCTGAAACATTTCACATTGGCTATGATTTTAAAAATCCAATTAAGCATCTTGAACAAAAAACATTCATCCATCCTTGGGCACTCTGGATTAAAATAGAGCCCTAACTTTTTGCTGGATATTTTGTTTTTTTGTTTTTTTTTGTAAATAAGGCCCCTTTAGGTCATCACAACTTTGTGCATGAGAGTGCCCTATATATGGCAATACGTGATAGTCTCTGGTTTATGCGGTTTTGTTTTTTCTTTTTCTCTTTCTTTTTCTCTTTTACTTTTTCTTTTCCTCTTTCTCTCCTCTCTCTCCCCTCCCCCCCCCTCCTCTCTCTCTCCTCTCCCCCCCTCTCTCTCTCCTCTCCCCCCCCCCTCTCTCTCTCCTCTCTCTCCGCCCTCTCTCTCTCTCTCCTCTCTCTCCGCCCTCTCTCTCTCTCCTCTCTCTCCTCCCCTCTCTCTCTCCTCTCCCCCCTCTCCCACTCTCTCCCCCCCTCCCCCTCTCTCTCCCCTCCCCCCTCTCTCCCCTCTCTCCCCTCCCCCCTCTCTCCCCTCTCTCCCCTCTCTCCCCTCTCTCTCTCCCTCCTCTCTCTCTCCCCTCTCCTCCCCCCTCTCTCTCCCCCCCCCCTCTCTCCCCCCCCCCTCTCTCTCCCCCCCCCCCCCCCTCTCTCCCCTCTCTCCCCTCCCCCCCTCTCTCCCCCTCTCTCTCCTCTCCCCCTCCCCCCCCCCCCTCTCGCTCTCTCTCTCTCCTCTTTCTCTCTCTCTCTCTCTCTCTCTCTCTTTTGCTTTTCCTTTTCCCTTTCTCTTCCTCCCATAATTTATTAGACATCCTCTTTATGGACAACATATTGTTCCATGACAGTGATCCCCTTAACAGACTGCATGTCTGTGCAATGAAAGTGATCCTTTTTCCAAACCGCAAATATATACCATCACATTCAGTGAGGCCGAATAAGTTCGCCTTAACGATCTTAGAACCCCTATGTGAACAGGGAGTCTGGAAGTGTCGTCATATTTTAGTACTTTTTGTGGTCTTTGCCATAGGCTCTTGCCTAGTACTCAGCTTTTCCCAGCAGCTTTATGACCCATCAATCACACCAGCTGAGCAATATGACCAATCTCTTGGCATTGATCATTTGACCAGGCACCAGTATTACAGGACAAAGAGGAGTTCCTGTCTTCCTTTTACTCTTTATTATAGAGACTTTGTCATAAAAAAAAAGTCACAATAAGTGCATCATAAGATATAGGTCATATTGGGATAGAATGTCCCCAAATGAGAAAAAGATTGATAATATCTAAAGTTTCCTACTTGTGCTTCCTAACATATCCAAAAGATTATAAGGAAAAATATCTGGAAAGATTGCAGTTTCAGTGATGAGCTTTCAGGATAACTTAGATCACAAAAGGATTTAAGTTATCCTGAAAGCTTGCATTTTTGTTAACTTTAGTTAGCTAGTAAAGGGTATATTAAGTGCCAATCTTTCTGCATTAATTAATGGATAACAGGATCCAATACTCTTGCATAGAAAACCAAGAAATCTGAATTATTCTCTAATTTATCCAAAGGAGTATGGGGGTAAAACATTCAGAGTTGATCCTCCATTTCCAGTTTAAACAAATACCACAGTCTCTGAAAAATGCCTCGCATATCCCCCCTTCCATCCCAGAATGGAGGCTACTGCTGGGATGTGTAGAAATCTAGGAGCAGTTTTTATGTAATGACAGAGTCTCCTTAGGACTTTTTAAGGCTGAATGTTTGAGTAAAGGTCTTTTAGGATTAAAAAGTAGATCTGCTTTAAAGGGCAAATGCCGTTATATAACATTTTGGGTAGATTTATAAACGCTTTCTTTGCCACAATGATACCTGTTGATAATTATTGCTGCTTGGATGTTGGGCAGGTGCATCGCTACAAAAAAAAAAAATTCTATGAAATTTTTTTTGAATGTCAAAAGCCTTTAGGAAAGTATCTCAAAGATGTAAAGCTTATTTGTGTTCATTCTCATGCAGGTTTGCTGCCAAGTGTGTGTGCTGACCTCTTGTACTTTGTAACTGCAGCTGGAGTTGGATGGAGAGAGAATCTCATTACCTAACCTGGAGGGGATCGTAGTTCTGAATATCGGTTACTGGGGAGGAGGCTGCAGGTTGTGGGAAGGCATGGGTGATGAGCCATATCCCTTATCACGGTAAGTGTCTGCTCATTACTACGTGTAAATCCTACAAACATTACCCTGTGTCAGTTCAAGATGGTTCACACAAACACGTATATACCACAAAATATAGAACATCGCTTACCATGTTTGTTATAAGGTGATGATCTAGATTTTGTGGTATATTCTCATATGCATATCCAGGCATAATGTTTCATCATTATCGCTGAGTTTTTTGCTTATTCTCGTAGCCCTGATGAAGGGGAAGTGAAGTTGCGCCTGAAACATGTTATCTATTTTATTATAATTTTTTTTTTTATAATGAAGTGATCGTGGACTTTTATCCAGTTTTGGTCTGGCGATCCTTTCTGCATTTCTATGGTTTGAGTAAATACAGAAGCTAGGATTTTCGTATGATAACCAGGCGAATAGCATTTTTAGGATGAAGTTAGCGGTGGCAGTCCATGTATTTCTCTTATAAAAGGTGACTTTCAATGCCCAGTCATGGGGATGTAAATTAAGTGCTCTCCAATTCACAGTTATCAGTTCTCAAAATAAATTAAAACTGAACTCCGGGCAGATATTTTAAACCATACTAAAGAATGCAGTTATGTATTTATTAAAACATATTAAATATATATATATATATATATATATAAAAAATACTTTTTTTGAAAGTTGAAAAAATATACATTGATTAGATCAATAGTAAATTCTGCAACACTGAAAAAACAGAAGCTTTAACAATCAGGCATCAAGAATAAAAAGGGTAAGCAATATTCAGGGTACAATGGCGTTGCTCTACTAAAGGTAAATATACTGTGCACTGCAAGTGCAGTTGCTTTAGATCCAAAGGGAAGCTCTGAAATGAGGCAAAGCTCTGCTAAATTTTTTTCATCCAATCATGTGGAAGCAAAAATGCTGGGTTTTTTGGGGGGGGGGGTTTTCCTTGCATGTTCCCCTCACATCTAGAGCAACTGCACTTTCAATGTACTTGCATTGCACAGCCTATTTGCCTTTAGTAAATCAACCCCATTGGGTGACTAAGAAAACGCAATACAAAATTCACAGTGCTGCATAGTCATAATTACTTCTTACAATTGTGTACGTAGCAGGTAAACAATCTGACAAACAAACGCTGTGCAAGATTTAGATTCCTGATGGTGAAATAATTAAACCACATCCAGATCACTGGCTAGTAAAGTACACCAGCAACATTAGCATTGTTCTCTCTGTAATCAAATATGACCGACACTACAGGTGAACACAACATATTAGAATTAAGACATTCATTGAAAAACAAGCAATAAGGGGGCAGCCAGGGATCCCATATTTTATTGCATTTAGTCAGGCAGCCCCTAGGTAAGATGACAATAACTATTGTGAACCATTCTTCTGGGGTTGCAGGGGAGATCCCCATTTTGAAGCAATTAGTTTCCTCACAAGGAAAAGCAATCTAGCTATGAGAGCAATGATTTCTGGGAGGGGTCCAGCTCTTCAGCATAAGCCCCTAAAATATAGAAAAGTGGGTCAAGAGGAATTGATGTCTGGTAAGTTTTGTTTATAATATGTAAAACTGTTTGCCAATAGCGGTAAAGTGTGGGTTATTTCCATAATGTGCAGAATATCCACTGTGGCACCCTGACACATCGATCAGTTAGGTGAATCTCTATGTTGCCAACTGAATCATTTTTGTGGTGCACAGTAAGCCCTATGGAGAATAAATAACTGCGTCAGTCTTTGCGTTGGTGACGATGACACTAGAGGTATAATTTCCAAAGCTCTGCACCATACTTCTTCTGGGATATTACCTACATCAGTCTCCCACCCACTGATTACAAGGTAGAGGAATGTTTTCCTTCAGGTTATTATGTAAAAGCACATACACTTGTGAAATAATGCCGTTCCTGTTAGTAGATGTTGCAGTAATATCATTTAACCACATCCCTGCTGCCCTACAGCAGATATACTGCTACAGGGCAGTAGGATTGCACAAAAGCTTGTATATATACGTGATTTTGTATTTCTGGGTAGGGGGTGCGCGCCCTTCCTACGCCGCCATTCGAGGCCGTGGCTGTCAGTCACCGGGTCCCGGTCGATGATTACCCATCGGCGCCCAGTGATTACAGAGGTACTCCAACAGAGGAGGGCTGCTTTGATTACTAACATTCCTCCTCCCTGTTGGCTCGGGCACACTGTTCTGGATGTCTATGCACAGCACAGCCATCCAGAGCAGTGTGCTTACAGTGAAGCACAACAACACACCGCCCCCCAGTAAAACCCTTTGATCGCCCCTTATGTTAACCCCTTCCTGCCCAGTCTCATTAGTACCGTGTCAGTGCTTCCTTTTTTTTTTTTTTTTTAAGCACTGATCACTGTATTGGTGTCACTGGGGATGTCAGTGACACCAAGTCAGTGCCTCCCAGTGTCAGAATGCCCTCCGCAGTCTCGCTATATGTCACTGATCACTGCCATTACTTCTTAAAAATTTTTTTTTTTAAATTCCAGTATATATACCGCCATTTGTAAACACTTTAAGTTTCACGTAAACCAATTAAATTACATGTATTGGGATTTTTGTTTTTGCAAACACATGTAGCAGAATACATTTTGGCCTAAATTTATGACGAAATTAGATTTTTTTTATTGGACATGTTTAACCACTTGCCAATCGTGCTATAGCCGAATGATGGCTACAGCGCGGTTGTCCAGTTCTGGGAGGGTTTCATATGACGTCCTCCTGAACGCGCCCTCCTGCGCGCCCTACGGACACAGCTGATCACGTGATGTGGTAAAAGGCCAATTACAGAATTACCACATGATCAGCTGTGTCCAAGGTGTCACAGCGTGAGGAAAGTACTGCTGATAACCGGCAATTGTCAGAGGACGGATCGGCACTGATGATCAGTGCCGCCCACAAGTGCCCAGCAGTGCCACCCATGAGTGCTGCCCAGCAGAGCTGCCTATCAGTGCCTATCATTGTTGCATAGCTGTGTAGCATCATCAGTGCCAGCTCATCAGTGCAGCCTCATCGGTGCACACCAGTGAAGGAGAAAAATTACCTGTTTGCAAAATTTTATAATAGAAACAAAGAACAACTTTTTTTTTTGTTTATGGCGCAGACAATAAATTCACCAGCGGCAATTAAATACCACCAAAAGAAAGCTCTATTTGTGTGAAAAAAATGATAAAAATTTAATATGGGTATTGCATGACCGCGCAATTGTCATTCAAAGTGTGAAAGCACTGAAAGCTGAAAATTAACCTGGGCAGGAAGGGGGTATAAGTGCCCAATAGGCAAGCGGTTAATAGCAAAAAGTCAAAAATATTGTTTTTTTCTCAAAATTGTAGGTCTTTTTATTTTTTTGTTTTATAGCGCAAAAAATAAAAACCGCACATGTGGTCAAATACCATCGAAAGAAAGCTCAATTTGTGGGGAAAAAAAGGACGTAAATTTCATTTGGGTGCAGTGTTGCATGACTGCGCAGTTGTCAGTTAAAGTAATGCCGCGCCATAATGCAAATAATGGCCTGGTCAGGAAGGGGGGTAAAGTCTCTGGAGGGCCAAGTGGTTAATGATGTGGATGTCCTTGCTAAAGAGTTGGTTTTAAGTTGCATGTTGAGGACATGCCGCAATTGCAAGTATTGGTTGAATGAATTCCGTTTGTAGTGTTTGAAAGGTTCTAAGTGTGTCGTCAATATAAAACTGAGAGAGATATTTTAGCCCCAGTTGAGACCAGGCATCAAAACCTTTAAATTTATTTACAATGAATGCCAAATCAGGGTACATGAGGGTAAGTAGAGTAATGCTTAATCTGTTTAATTTCAATCCATACTTTATGTAGTAACTTTAATGTTGGGAACTCCCGCCTCCAACTGCGAGATGAGGAGCTAATTAGCAGGGCGACTTAGCAATAACCCTTAGATGGGATCATTTAAATCAGGAGTCCCCTTACCAATTTTGAGATAAAATTGGTGCAGCGCTACCCCAGTCCTACACTACTCCTGCACTAGCATACCCCAATATACCATCAGGTTAAAAAATAGACAAATAAATAGTGTTACATAACCAATTTAAAAAACTCTGTGTATAGAATAGACAAAAACTTATATAAATCATCCAAGTATGGTCTAATGACTCAGATTCACCAGAAGAGACGTGACTTAATTGCTGCAATTGGGGAGCTAAAAAATAGAATTTGACATTAGGGCCACTAGCCTTCCCTGTCCTTAGGTAATTGTAGTGTGGAGTTTTTAATATGTGAGGGATTGTGCTTCCAAGTGAACTCCCCAACTAAAGTACCTACCCACCTGAACCAGGTCTGAGAGAGCCATACAGAGGATTTGTGTAATAGGTAGAGGATTTGGGGTGACCAAATTATTTTTTTTTAAATTGACTCTCCCTATCACCACGAGTGATAATTTAATTCATTATATTTTAAATTCAACCAGTATGCATATTTAAATTTTACTTGATTCAGTCTTGTGTCTCTCCTATGCAGCAGAACTCAGACTGAGAGAGGGAGGAGCAATGCTGGGGACCAGTAAGGTGTCCTGCATTCACATAGGCTGCTCCTTAGCTGTGTAATCACAGGTTGACGGCAGGGACGTGACCTAGAAGTGTTGAGCAGCCTCCCTGGCGGTATTCCCGAGTGTAGCTCAGGGCAAAGTTTCAGCACCACAGGCGGTAACCCCGAGCTACACTCGGACTTACCATGCGGCGCTGCTCCGCGATCCCTCGATCACTTACCTTGTCCTGCGCTCCCGCGATGTCCCTCCTGCAGTGTCCCCGGCAATGTAATCCGGCGGATGCCAGCATTTGTCTTCTAGGTTCCGTCCCCTGTGAGCGTCGGGATGTACGGGGGACGGAACTGGCGGGAAATTTGAAAATTACAAAAAGTGACATTCACTAAATACACTAAAATCACATAGTATAACATTACTGTATCAAACCATTTCACATACATTTTGTCCCGAGTGCTTTGTCCGGCGCCCTGCCTGCATTTTTACTGTTCTTTCTGCCTGGAAACTGAGAAACGTCCATGGCGTCCAAAAAGCGTCCCTTTAGGTCAAAATCGGTTTTAGATCGGCTAGAGAACAGCAATAGTAAATCAGAACCACTTGCAGAATTGAGTGATAATGATTCGTGGGGGAAATTCCTCATCAGACACTGAAAACGATTCTGCGACTTTGCTCAGCGATGTGCGAACTTGGCGCTCTATTTCACATTTCAGTGTTTTTGGTTTGATTATATTATTGAATTAAATTTATTATTATTATATTTTTTTTTATGATTATTTATTAAATTGTAATTTATGATTTCGTGTTTCAAGTTTTATCATACCCGGGATGTTTACTAGACTCTTGTTCGGACAGATTTCATTGAGTTATTCCTAAAAATTACAGGCCTACAATAAAAAAAATACATATTTCCATGCAAAATAATGGTACCGCTTTGAGCACAGAAATAGGGACATAATCAGACCGCTAGGGAGGTTAACTGCATTAGACACAAGTCAAGCCAACAACTGGCTGTGCTATATAAATCTTATTACTGGGTAGATGGAAGTGAAATCCTTTGCAGGTAGAGCAGCTTAAAATATCTATTTCAGCTGTGTATTTACTATTCCGTGGCATTCCGATTTAAGCTGATAGCCTGCATTTGTTTTTGGAGCTGTACTGGTTCCCAGTTTCCTCCACAACTATCCTTCAGTTAGGTCTGTTATATAGATCTGTATATGGAAATGTACTATTTAAAGTGTAAATCCTCAGGGTATGTCTGCCCTCTGCTGACCACCTGTAGGCAAATAGGTTTGCTGAAATGAAGCTTCTAGTAAAGATGTACTGGGAGCTGCTGTATGGTAATGTATTCAAATTAATGGATACTTTGTGAGTGGCAAAAGGCTCCATTGAAGAGCACTGTGTGTTTATACAGATTCTCCACTCTCCATTTGAAAAGTGGAAACATCTTTTAAAGTGAACCTGTCACCGATTTAAAGTACTGTATATAAATCCTAATAATGGACTCTTTCTCCCATCCCTGTGAGCTGCAGAACCCCTTCCCCATATGTTATGGATATATGGAGGGGGCGGTGTGCATAGTCCTAACCCACCTTATCCTGGTGACTCTCTAGATATAGTGCATTCTGAGTGTTGCCATCATATTACAGGATATATGTTGCTAGCATGATCATCAGGTTGAAAAGAAAATAATGCAACCCGGTAAGCTGCAGTATACTTCATTTTTGCTCTTGGGTTTAAATACATTTCAAATATGTATCAAGGATGTTGAATTCATATCTCCTGATGCCCAGGACATGCAGTTCCGGGCGCTGGGCAGGTAGTTTTCTTTTATACTTTTAAGCCCTGCTGCGGGCAAGCAACAGGGCTCACCTGTCAGGTGAAAGCATTCGGGCGGCAGCGCTGCCACCCCTTGCTTCCACACAGCCCACTATGTCTCCCTCCGACGCCTCGCCCGCTATGTTCCTGATTCCGTTTCCCATCTGTGGGTCTGGGACCAGTCAGTGGCTGCCGGCGGGTATAGGGGAGGGAGGAGAGAGGACACATATGCTCCCCCTCCCTTCTTGTCCTGAACCAAAAGTGATGTGACGTCACTTCAGGGGTCCCCATTGACAAATTCCTGGCCATCAAGGCCAGGAAAGAACGTAATGCGGTGCGATGTGCACTGCATTACATTCAGTGTAGTACAGAGGATACATGCAGGATTTTTTAGACCCTGGATGTCTCAAAAAAGAGAACCTGTCCCCAAGTAAAACAAATTTTTTTTTATTTTTAAAAAATCAACATTACACCCAAGCATATAACCCCTCCAAAATCGTAAAAGCACGTGTTGGGCCGCCTGCGTATGAAAACAACAATTGCAATACACATGTTGCATATCGCCGAGCACGCCAGAATGAAAGCAATAATCCTAGCAACAAGACTTCCTCCGTAACGCTAAACTTATGACCAATAAGGGGATTTAAAAGCGTCACCTATAGAAAATATAGGATACTAAAGTTTGCTGCCATTTCACAAGTGCACGCAAGTTTAAGGTTTGACATGTTGATATCTGTTTAATCGATGCAACCTCGTCTTTTATATTTTACAAAAACAGTTGGATGATTTATTGCTTTTTTTTGCCCTAAAATTAACTTAAGTGTATTTTTTACTGAAATTTTGTGATAATATTGTGTGACATAAAAATTTGGAACTACCGCTATTTTTCTTCAGGCCTCTAGGGCCAGTTCACACTACATGCGTTTCAGTTGTTTTTTTTTTTCTGCATCCATAACGCACAGAAAGTAGGCTATATGGTTGTCAATGTCATAGTTCACATCAGTGTTTGTAGTTAAAGTGCGTTCCGGTTGCAAAAAAAAAAGTAGAACATGCTGCATTTTTTTTTTGCACAGAACTGCACTGGAATGCGATAAAATGCACCAAAAATGCACTGGAACGCACATGTCCCTATTTAAATTGACGGAAAAAGAGAGGGGTGGGGGAATGAACGGGGATGCATAAAAATGCACTGGAACACATCCAGAACATGCCAAATACACGTCAAAAATGCATATGCAAAAACGCATCTGGAATGCATCTGGACTGCATTTCTATACTGTGAACCAGCCCTGAATGATTTTTTAAACGTGTGCAAAAAAGGGAAAAACCGCTCTGACAGCAAAAGGGATAAAGGATAAGCCTGACACTACCCTTTCCTGACCAGCAGCCAATCGGTGCTCATTACACTGCAAGGTCTCTCCCCTCCCTGCTAGTCCCCGGGTGCTGTGCTGTAGACAGGCAGGGAGGGGAGGAGGAGATATACAGCACAATGTTAAAAATATTGAACGTTTAAGTTGACATAAAGCCCCTTTTGTTTATAAAAGCCCCAGACATTAATTAAAGCACCTCCGATTTTAAATATGGTTTTGGCTTAAATTTATTTATTTATTTTTTTTCATGACAAGTAGATTGGGGCACCGATTTAGTCCCTGGACAAGTATTTTTTTTTAAACATTTCCACACCCCTGTGTAATCTAAGAATGTGGCAAAAGGTACCCATCTATTCCTCCTAAATTTTGGTACCTGGGAACTTCTCCCACCATGGTTGCTCTGTTCATATTTTTAAAGCTCGACTTCTTTGAATTGGCTGTAAGCCCCCTCACTAACACTAGAGGTGGTTTTATATTAGTTGGTGGCCAGCTATACATACAATCTGACCAAGAGGCAAGTGCCAACGGGATGTGGGTGACCCACCGCAAGCAACGGCTAACAATTGGGAAAAAGCAATTGCAGTAGAATGAAATATTCCATCCTGACCAATCAGTTCTTCCCCCAAGCTGGGATACCTAGATGCAGCGGGGAAGGCCTGCAGGCATATGAACATTCCTTTATCTGTTCCCAAATGGTTGTAGATAAAGTCATTAAACGGACTGGCCACATTTCGATCCATGCACGGGCACAGAGCTTGCACAGAAGTCCACCTGCTGATCGACTTCTGTACAATTGCCTTGTCAGATTTTTCCCATTCAATCAGCGCCGCAGGCTGTAGCCTGCAATTATGATCAGTGTATTCTAATGGCATCCCCATCCACATTGATATGGGGGAATCGAGTCAGGTTTTATTTATTTTTTGTTCAACCCACTGGTTGATCAAAAAAAAAAAAAAAACGATTCATCTATGGGCAGCTCAGTGGACATCCTCTATAGCCCTGGTGCCCAACCTGCAGCCTGAATGCCACATATGGCCCCTTGGTGTATGATGTGCAGCACTCAGACCTAAGCAGTTTTGTAGTGGGAACATTGATTACGGTAATAGCATTGAGCTCTACTAGTCTCATGCGACATGTTCCCAACTTCGTATTGCCTTCTGCAGCATATCCCCAGCCAAAAATGTATCCTGCCCACACTCTCTGATCCTTGTTTCCTCTAATAGGTCTGCAGGTTCTGACAGTCCTCCCAAGCATTACATATATTGAACATTCAAACTAAAAAAAGAATCCCAGTGTCAATCAAAGAAAGTATACAATTATGCAGCTGTGCACCAGTGAAAACCACCAATAATAAATAACACAAAAAAAACAGCGCAAAAATTAAATACATAAAAATAATCACAAATAAATAAATGTCCGTGCAAAAAATATATATATAATATTTCAAACATAAGTCCTTATTTTCCCAAAAGGATTTTCAAACCAATGTTTCAAAATGTGCTTCCACCTAATCACCACGTGAAGAATAATATTGACCGCACTCACCAGATGGAGGTGAGTAATAAGCCTCATAGGATATAAGGGATCCTATAGCCCCTCCAAAGGAACTCAAATCGCCTTCACCCTGCTTAGATACAGCAATCGACTCCACCCTACTTCTCCATGGAATCCTCAATAGTGTGCAAGGAAAGAAAGGCTACATAGTGTAATACTGCCACTCAATACCATATAAATCCATAGAATAAGGACACTCACATGTTTCAATAAAATAACAGGCCTTGTTTAAATAGCCTCAAAGGCTTCAAAGGAACAAGTTTCCAAACTGTAAATATAGGAATCTCACGCTTTAAGGATCACTATAGAGGATGACCAGCTTTCCACCTCAAAAATGGCTGCTTTAACCGCAAAAGTCGGCGTGCGTTCCAAATACCGGAAGTGACGTAGGCCAAGAAGACGGCAGACCGGAAGTGCATCAATGCATTTCGCCCCACCCACAGTCTTGAAAACGCCCTGTGGGTGGGGCGAAATGCATTGATTTAAAGTAGCTGCTCTTGGTGGTACTCTTGGTTAGAACTGTTAGTAGTGTGTCAGTTATTTCCATGTGAAAGCAGGAAAATCTGTATCTGAAATGTTGAGCCCTGAAAGGTGTCCATGTTTTTCATATAAACTGTTTGTTTCTGAAGGCATGACGATGGACTACTGGAGGTGGTGGGTGTTTATGGATCATTCCACTGCGCTCAGATTCAGGTGAAGCTGGCAAACCCGGTCCGTCTCGGCCAAGCGCACACTGTGAGGGTAAGTGTTGGTGCAGCTGTTGCTCCTTAGCCCTGTTACTCTTTTTTTCTTTTCCTTTTTTTTTTTTCAGGTAGAGTCTGCCTGATATAATGATCAGCTTTTAGAAATTAGGCTTATAAAATTAAAGTACATGAAAATGTTTTGTTTTTATTTTGGCTGAAGTAATGAATGGTTAAATCTCCCATCAGTTTTATTTGTTGCCCATTTGGTAGCGCAACATTTTATGCATTAAGGTACAAAAACCTTTGACAAGCAGCTCCCCTCCCCCAGTGCCCCCTAAATACTTAGCTGAGGCCGATCTCGAACCAGTGATGTGTACCAGAACAAAGGCTCTCTCGGGTCTCTCTCTCCTCATTGGCTCAGACACAGCAGTTGGGGGCCATAGGCTCCTACTGCTGTCAGTCACAGCCAGTGAGGAGGGAGCCGGGAGGGGTGGAGGTTGTGGGCAAGGCTGAGCTGCGTGCTGTGGGTCTTATGGACACACAGAGGTGGTCTCGAGAGCCAGCATGCACAAGTGCCCCCAGAGCAAGGGGATTTCTATGGGGGCACTCGGCAAGGTGGATCCGAGAAAAGGAGGATCGGGGCTGCTCTGTTCAAAACCATTACACAGGGCAGGTAAGTATAACAAGTTTTTTTTAAAAAAAATTGTGCCTTTTCAATCAGTTTAAGCTGCAAAAGCAGCAGGTTTACACTTGCCACAACCCTGATGCTTTGCTTCACAGCTGCAGCAGGTTTTATACCCCCTGTGTCCACTGAATGTGATCCATTCAAGTGAATGGGACTGCGCTGCAACTGCCCTGCACCCATGCGATGGCAGGCAGCACTTAGGGGGTTAAAACAGGCTTTAAAGAGATGACATATTGCCTCCTTACCTCCTGTCAAATGCCTCTGAAAAGCAATTTGAACTTTTCAGAAATAGTGGCAGCGATTGCCTCTAGTGTAAATGAACTCCTATATATAAGTGATTGACACTACAACCTTCTCTGAGGTCTGACACCAGGTATTTTGGTGGCTGCTGCGAGAGAGGAAAGTGTGGTGGGGCAGCACCAGGGGCAGACTGACAACTCATGGGGCCCCCGGGCAATAGGGGATCATGGGGCCCCTGTGTCCTTTCCCAAACTCAAAAAAGCCTATTAAAAAGGTACCAGGGGCATCTCATGGGGGCCCCTACTGACCCCGGGCTCTCGGCAGCGCCCGAGTTTCCAAATGGTCAGTCAGCCCCTGGGCAGCACTGGATAGGAGTGAGTGAGCTTTACTCAGACCCTGTCATCACTTTTGCCTGAATCGACAAGGTCCCTTTAACCCTTTCTCTGTGGGCATTGGTGTATTTATTTCCTGTGCTGCCCTAGGCAACACTAAAATTGGGGTGCCCCCCACCCCACGAGCAAGCCCCCAACCCGCTATCGCCACTGCCACCACCACAGCCCATCACCGCAATCCCCCCGCCACCCCGACCCACCACGACCACCTAATTCATGCACTAACTTTAACCTCCACAATGACAGAATCGGCCTGCCATCCCCGCACCCTCCACATGAATTCTACTAAATCTAAACCACAAAGTTTCATTGAGTTAATATATAATAAAGATGTACATTTTTAAATTTTGCCTTTTTGTGAAGCGAAGAAAATCACAAACCTTTTTTTTTTTTACCTTTTAAGCAACATTGGTGACAGTATGTACACCATATTTGACAGGTTTTCTTTGGAGAAATATCAGTGGTCTAAATCTTCTCCCCTGCTGCCTGTTTCTTTCTACTGATCACAGAAGTGAAAGGCGTGTTTAAGAACCTCCCTGGTCGCCATCCTGAAACACACAAGCTGGCAATAAGACCAGTGTCCTGGCTTCATGGCTGTTTCATTGCCAGTTTTTGTATTGAGCGAGAGCTGGGTGGGGTAGCGGGGTTACAGCAGGAGGGGGGTACACAAGGGTTGGTTGGAGATTGGCACTGCAGGAGGAGGGCACACATAGGGAAGACAGCAAGTGGCAGAGAGCACACAGAGGGAGGAGGAAACAATGTGGCAGTCACATTGTTTTATGATTGGTTGCTTGTCTACGTCTAAGGGCCCCTTCTACTATAAGTTCATGGTCGCTGATTCACCCATGAGCTTATAGCCGAAAGTATTGCACCTGCCGTGAAGGTCTACTGGAATCAAATCTGTTCCATGGTAACTGTTACGCCAGTGGTAGTGAAGTTAAAGGTATGCTTTTGCACTTTTAGGAACTCACCATGTAGCGTTGCTGGTAAAGTAGTTCTAAGATGAAGTTACTCTCATGGTCTCTCATGGCTGTTGTTTTCTTGTTATTTTGTAGTTAATTTTGAAGAATTCCAGAATGCCAATGCAGGTGGACGGTGAACCCTGGGCTCAGGGACCATGTGAAGTCACTATCACTCATAAGACGCATGCTCTCATGCTGTACCATTTAGGGGAACAAACTGATGATGACGATGAAGATGAAGACCCTTCAAGTGATTCCGACCAAGATATCCCACAGGATGTGAGCGACAATGACAAAAAGGCCTAGGAAATGGCAGCTTAATGAGATACCTTTTTAAATGCTTTCATATACTGCAGATCCTTCTGCCTATCAGCACTCTATTTATTTATTTCATTGCACTTCATGTTTTTGTTTTGTTTTTGTTTTTTTAATTTCAAAAAACCTTTTGTGTCATGCAAGGACCATGGGGGATTTTATTGAGCTGGACAAAGTAGGAAGCAGATTGTAGAGCAAATTGTGGCTAGGACAAAAATAACCTCTGGATCATAACATTAACTGGAGATTTGGAAAACTGAGAGATACCTTAAAGGGTTAGTTCACCTTTACAAAAAAAAAACTTCCTATGCAAGTATGGCGCACTTGTAGAAAAAAATAAACAGTGCAGCTTTGACTAAAGTTGGTTAGTGTTCTTTCTATAGGTGTAGGCCATATACTGTACATATTTCCTGAAGCCTGAAAAACTCCCAGCCAATTCAAACCCCCTCACATGCACTCTCTCTCCCCTGTTGCAGTAGCTCTGAGCTCAGCAATGCTGCAACGGAGATAATGGGTCACATGTGCTGGGGTTTGAGAGCTCCCTCCTTGATGGTTCGGGTGAGCAGTGACAGCTGGGAGTATTTTGGTAAAGGTGAACTAACCCTTTAATAACATAATGACATCTGCAATCCACTGAACCGAACCACACTTTAATCTAGTAGAGGTTTTGAAATGTGAACCTGTCGGAGAATTTAATATTTCAAACTGATATTTATCAAAGCAGGTTTGGGGTTCCTTTGTTTTAATTTTTTTCTGAGTTTTATATATTTTTATAACTTATCTACCGTTTCCCCCAAAATAAGACCTACCCCCAAAATAAGACCTAGTACTATTTTTGGGAATTTCTGAAGTATAAGACCTACCCTGAAAATAAGACCTAGTTGTGATCAGCTGTTCCACCACCTCTGGCACTGGCCCTGTGTACACCAATATCTACTGTCTCCTATAAACACAGAAGCGCGGCTTTTGTGTTTCCAAGTGGCACTCCCTCTTGTAAGTAACAGCACCATCCACTCCCACAGAACCCTCCCTACCTCTGTACTTACTGTGGGACAGGGAAGGAACAGATATCTGCGGGTGCAGTATGTTTAGGGGGGGGCATCTCATCCTGCAGCGTAATGCATGGAAGCCAATGCCCCAGGGGTGATCACTGGCCAATAAGGAAGAGGCGGAGTGGTGAGTGCGCTTGGTGCACTGTGTGGGAAGATAGGACCCGAAGCTCACTTCTGCATCCCCTGTCTGCAACTCACCCCTGCACCCTGTCTGTGGCTCATCTCTGCACCCTGTCTGTGGCTCATCTCTGCACCCTGTCTGTGGCTCATCTCTGCACCCTGTCTGTGGCTCATCTCTGCACCCTGTCTGTGGCTCATCTCTGCACCCTGTCTGTGGCTCATCTCTGCACCCTATCTGTGGCTCATCTCTGCGCCCTGTCTGTGGCTCATCTCTGCACCCTGTCTGTGGCTCATCTCTGCACCCTGTCTGTGGCTCATCTCTGCACCCTGTCTGTGGCTCATCTCTGCGCCCTGTCTGTGGCTCATCTCTGCACCCTATCTGTGGCTCATCTCTGCACCCTGTCTGAAACTCACCTGTCATTTCACCTCTGCAACACCTGACTGCAGCTCACAACTGTCATCTGTCATCAGCTGGCCCTCCCTATAGTAACCCTCATCCACAACTGCCTGCAGCTCACCTCTGCACCCCCTGTCCACACCTGTACATTAAAAAAATAAGACCTACCCTGAAAATAAGACCTAGTGTGTTTTTTTGAGCCCAAAAAAATATAAGACAGTGTCTTATTTTCGGGGAAACACGGTATTCTTATGTCTATTTTTGTAGTATTTGTAGAAAATCTGTATTTTTTACACCTGCTCTTTGTAAGGGTTTTGCACAGAGCAGCCCCGATCCTCCTCTTCTCAGGTTCCCTGCTGACACTCCAAGCTCCTCCTCCCTGCCAATTGCCCACATAACAAGCCGCTTGCTATTGGGGCATTTGTGCGTGTGTCCATAGACACACACAGTGTGGCTTAGCCACACCTCCCACCTCTCCTCACTGGCTGGGATTGCTGTCTCTCAGCCAATGAGGAAAGAGAGAGCTGAGAGAGCCGATGCTCTCGTGCACATTGCTTCATTGAGATCGCACTATCAAATCGGGCCAGATTGGGTTGGGGGGGAGGGCAGACCACAGAAGATTTTTTTACCTTGATGCATAGAATGCATTAAGGTAAAAAAAAAAAAGAACCTTCTAGCTTTACAGCCACTTTAATTTTTCGCATGGTGACCTGGGATCTCTCGAACATGGCTGCAAGCCTCAAACCTAGAAGCTTTGGGACACCACCTAACCTCTTACTATCCAATCGAATACCGCAGAGGAGGGGCGGACTGACCATTCGAGCACTCGGGCACTGCCCGAGGGCCCAGGATCAGTAGGGTGCCCCATGAGATGCCCCTGGTACCTTTTATTGGCTTTTTCATAGGCTTTTTTGGGTGGGGGCGAGGACACAGGGGACCCCATGATGACCTATTGCCCAGGGGCCCCATGAGTTGTCAATTCACCCCTGCCTCAGCGGCAGATAGGCACTAAGTTGCAGAGTGAGGTGGTAAAGGACAAGTCCAGGCTTTGCAGTCAGACAAGTCAAGCATAGTTCTTGCTGTGTGCATTAGCAGGTTTTGAAATCCCAGGCCACAGACAACAGAACAATTTATCATTTTGGATTGATAAATTCTGTGATAGATTCCCATTACACAGATGTATTTTTTTCCCTTCTTTATTATTAGAGGGGTAGAATCAATAAATGAAGTTGATAAAAACTCGGCCCAATTTAAATAGTTCAACTTCACCTATTTACAAATGGGCCAGGTATTCTTTTTTTTTTTTTTTTTAATGCAAAACCTAAAGCATTGAAATAGGGCCTTGCTCACCAACCACTTCATAAAGTATAGTCCTGTGTACTATGTCAAGGATTTGCTCAGTTGAGGCTTCTAGAACATAAATGATCTCTCTCTGGAAAATGTGAAGGTGACCATTGTACTGCTGCTGTTTAACACTGGTGACTTAAAGCAGAATTCTTGGCAAAAATCATAATCTTTTTTCGCTTCCTGCAACCTCCATGTTTACAGTTCAACATCCATCTCCTCCAGAAATCATGACAATGGTTGTCGCTTGTCTGATGCTTAACTGTCTGGTTGCATAGTGAAGGAGCCTTAGCACATTAAAGCCTCATGTACACTGGACACTTTATTGTTTTGTCTATTGCACAGGTTTGGTGTTTAGCCCTGATGCATGAGATCTCTCTGGATTGGTGTGGACGGAAAGCACAGCAAACTCTCCAGCCCTGCTGTCAGCAGCCTGTAAAACTTAAAATAAAGTGCAGCGCTAAAACATGGATGATAACCAGTAAATTAAATGCACACAGAGGGACCTCCCGAGGATCACCCCATTACCAGGCTGTACCTATATAGGACCTCCGGCTACCTGAGACTTCTATATGCACATTAAGATTGCGCTTCTGGTGAGTGGGCAATCTTTCCATACTCTCACATCTGGATGCAGGATTAGTACCCGCACTGGGCATATCAAGTCACAATATTATACCTTGGACTCTTTATTTACTTATTTATAGTACATACTATATGGGACATTCATGCTCATGTATAATATTTGCATTTAATTTACTGGTTATCATCCATTTTATAGCGCTGCACTTTATTTTACATTTGCTTGTTTTAGAAAGGTTTATTGTGGTTCCTTTTGGTGCATTTAGCTGCTTTTATGTGCGCTCGCTAGTCCTTACACTTTCATGTATCCTGTAAAACTTAGGTTGTGTGCTGAGTTGTACCAACACTTAGGGCAGTATGTGCCCAGGGGTGAATGTCTGTAACACAAGCAATATGCGTATGGGCATTTGTCCCTAAACACCCAGTACATCCGACCACAGCCGTTTTCAGACTGTCATAGACTTTAACAGACTGCTGGCTGTGGTGATGGACGATGCACTCATGCTGCCCGCACCAAAACACTAAATGGTGTATGAGATCCTGGAATTTTAGTGCTTTACTGTGGCTAAATCTGTGCAATAGATAAAAAAAATAGAACCCTGATTGGCTTTGAGTGCTGACTCGCCCTCTGTCCATCTGAGCGCTTCTCTGCTGGAGATTACAGGAAATGGATATAAAGACAGAGTTGGGTATTTAAACTAGCTGTACTTATAAACATTTTTAATTATTTTATATATCTTGATCAATGGATATTTTTGCCTTCTACTTTCAACATAGCCAATAAATTCCCCCATGGTTTGTTTTTTATGATATATGTGTGTCATGTTTACTTCCCTCAGAGTTGAATGTCATTTGATAACACTGTAACTGTATTTTATCTGTTGTCACAGCATAAGTGAATTTGTGATACAAGAAAGCAGTAATGTTAGCAATTTGGACATCTCTGGTGCTGCCGAGAAACATTTGAAGGATACCAGACATGCTATGTGCTGCAGTGATGGGATCTAAATAGAGGATGTTTTGTAGGAGTAATTTTCCGTTCATTTGAACAGTAAAGTGGACATCATTTTGTAGGAGAACTAATGCTGTAAAGGGAAAAGTTTATCTTTGTAGCTTCCTCTTTCTTCCAGTCAACATCTCAGAACCACAGTGTTTCCAATTTTTATCTGTAGTCCTCTCTTTTACTGCAATGTCTTAGAACATTAATGGCTACTGAGTGTAACACTCACACAACAGATTTATTTCTCAAGCTTCCTCTCCCCAGCTTGCTGTCTGTAGATTTTTCTTATATTTTCAAAACTTGTTGGCAGGCTATCCAGTTTAGATTTCAATCCAACTGGAAATCTTTTGATTTCCTCCATCCATGCCAAACAGTGTAGATGGAGAAATTTCTTCTGTAGGATATTGTATTCTTCCTCGTGGCTTTCTATAAACACAAACACTGATTACACCTATTAGGATGCAGTCGTCGTTCCGCTGACAGTTTTCCACCCTTA